CCCCTTCCAATTTGACCCCAAAAAAAAAAAAAAAAAAAAAAAGAATGATGGAAAAAAAATCAATTTGCCCATAAAATGAGTAATGGGATTCTGTGTAACTCCCCCTCTGTGCAGTCTACGCACACTATTGATGACACTTTAAACTCCTGATTTAATCGGCTTTTCAGTGTCAGTTTTTATTTGTATATTAATATCACAACCGAAATGAAAATTCAAGAAGCAGAAAACAGCTACACATGTTTGATGTTGTATGTGAAGGCCTTGGATATTTAGCAACTTCTTTGATGCTTTGATCTCTGAAGAAATCTTACTAAAATTATGATCAAAGGAATTTATATTATTCCAAGTACTTAAGAACGAACCATCTTAGGGCAATAATCAGTATTCTGTTTAATCCTTCACCCTTGGAATCCATTATTGCTAAGCACCTCAATCTGATGGGAGTTACATTTACTTAAGGATGATATTCTCCTAAAACAGAATTAGAACTAACAGAAAGCAATACCTCCAACTTACAGAAAGAGCTAGGAATTAGATTTTATTGTTCTGGTTAAAAAGTGTTCTTTGAAGCTGTTTTTCAAACATACATAACTTAAGAAAATTGGTATGCAGCTCAGAGACTGTTCAGATTTTTTTTTTTCTACAGCAGACAAATAGAATTTCCAACACACAGCTACTTTTAATTTAATCTATTTCTAACTATTTCCTATTGTCAGTGTTTATAGAAGACTATTACACAGATGGATATATCTAATATTTATAAAGTAAATTAACACTCTATAACAACATGCAAAGGCAGATAAATAATGAATTATCCTTTTCATCAATCTGACCACATATTGTCTATTTCACTGTAATATTAAATACTGCATCAGACCAGTGGTTGTAATTCCCCACGGCAAGTTAAATCAAACAGTGTGATACAAAGAATCCCTGAACTGCAACCTACAGAAGAGCAGAAGAACACTACAGCCAAGCAAGATTTAACAAAAACATTAATTACTGGTTAGATTATGGATTTACCACCCGTGGTTGATGAGAGGTAAAGGAGGGTTGTACTTTTGCAGGAGCAAATGAGAGCTCAAACCATGGCTCCCGGTCACAGCCACAATCTTAATAACCTCCCCCATCCTGACTAAGCAATTCCTCCTCGCCTTTTACCTGCACAGGTTATTTTTCTTCCTGCACACCCTACCCACAAAGGTGGACTTTAATCTTACAGCCCTTTTCTACTATTTATATCCTCATGCTCCATCACTCTTTAATCGTGAAAGATTACGAGTAGACTAATGTGCAAACACATCTGACTCCGAACACACTGTTGTAAGCATTCTTCCAAGCTGACAAGAAAACATGCCTACTTTAAATGAAAATCAATCTCTGTTAAATCCGTTAGCTCCGGCTCATTTGGACTGGCACTACTTTTAAGAGCTCCCACAGAGGTGTGCTGCTGCAGTCATATCAGAGAATCACGCATTAGGCTTTGACAGACGAGAGATGCACCAGGATCTGAGGGAACCCAAAGAGATGGTAGAGGGAAACACAGGTTAATCCTGTCTCTGACAAACTCACTGGCAGGTTCTTTCCTTTTGCACTGAGAGGCCTGAGAACAAGGCCTAGCAAGGAAATGTTTCCAAAGCTGCATGGTTAATTCATTTGGGATCACCTCTTGACATTGGCATCCCATCCAGTTCAGTTATCACACCCTTTAGACCCATTTTGTCTTTTGATTTGTTTATATCTCCACCACTGAAACCCAGCCAGGAACTAGAGCAACTTCCAGGGAAATAATTTTGTCTCATCAGTTCATAAACCAGTTGTCACAAAGGAGTCTTCAGTTGCCATCAGTACTGGCCCCACTACATGGCTATTTCATGCCTGTTATCCTGGGAAACGTAACACGCCAAGCAGTACCACCTAGAAACTTTAGCTTCAGTTCTGCTGTCAAACCCAGTGATAAAATGCTTGTATCTCTAAAAGTTACTTACTTTATTAAAGTGCTGAAGTTTATCAATTAAATTGCTGATGAGTGGGTCCAATCCTCTGACTTTCAGTTCTGGATTATTAATTTGTGCCTTCAGTCCACTGGAAACAACTCTGCTGGTGTAACTGAAAAAAGAGAGAGAGAAAAAAATTTCAGTTAGGATGAACAAACAAATTTTAGGCAAACTGCTGGCAAAGCATGCTGCAGCGTACTGCTGTGAAACATTTAGCTTAAAAACTGAGAATGGTCTACTTTTTCAGGAAACTCAATAAATTTCACTTCTCAAGGAAAAAACCCACAAAACCCAAACAAACCACAAATGGTTTAGAACAAAGAATTGAGAAAAATGACATTTTTCACTAGTAGTCACACAGTATCAAGAGGACAAACATTAAAGAAAACCTTTTCCAGTGAGTTTGCATTTTTTTTTTTTTGACTGGGCTTTATAAAGGCAATGTTCTCATTTTCCTTGGTGCTCATACAAGTATAAACTAATCTGGAAGTGTAAACTCCCCCGATGTAACGGTGTGTGCATAATGATGCTCAGGTTCTGAGCTTAGGAGCAGACTCAGCCGGACTAATGGGCCCAGGAAAGTCCAGCTGAAGTATTAATTTGAAGTCAAGAGTGGTCTAATGGTATCAATCCACTTCAATCCATTTGGACAACACAGGAACACCGCTGCACCTCACCTGCCTTTAGCTTTACCGTTATTCACAAATCATGCCATTTGCTGAATGCTCATCATTGCTTACTCTGTGAAAACACATGGTGACCCACTGCAGATGTACAGGGACAGTTGACACAGCTCTTTGAGATCATCTAGTTGCAATACAGGAGAAATTTAATTTAACGGGTCAGCTCATGGCCTCCACCAGTCTGTTCAGTGATTTTCTGCGTGCATTGCATTGTCTGATCAGAAACTCATCAACAGCAGCAAAAAGCAAGGGGTTTTGTTTTCATTGCTCTTGACTCTTTCCATTCAACCTCTGGTTAGAGCTATTGGAATTTCTCTGGAGGCTTATGTCATTATAATCCAGGATAAAGAACGCAAAATTGCTTCCCCTCTGAGTTGGTTGGGTTGGGTTTTTTTTGGCAAATGACACTGTTTTTTTTTTCCTGTGAAGCACAAGCCTCCATTAAATGCCTCTAAGTGGTATTACAAACCTACAGCACTGCATGGCGTTTGCATAAACATGACCAATTCGGGGACAACAGCAGCAGCATTAATGCCAGAGTCCTCAAAGGGACCCAAATTGTGGAAAGTCAATCTCAGTCAACTCATATATAATGATGCTGCTAAATACATACCCTCTTTTACATACATCATTATCAGGAACATAGGACCATTTGGTATGAATGAGTTCACAGTTCACTGAGACACAGGGGATACTCACAGCCTGCAAGCTCCATCCACAGTTAAGGACTCACTTTTCAAAGCTTTAGAGATACGCATAAATTATGCACAGATAGTTCTGCTGCCCAGATTGCTTGCAATTAGATTCATAATGGGGATTACCTGTATTTCAGATGTCAGAGAAACCACATACAAGCTGTGTAACTCACATCATCTCCTTATCTCCTTGGTCTAGGACAGCTTCAGTCTGGCAGACACTAACAACTACATCTAACTGCTCCTGCCAGGCTCCAGCACAGAAGAGCTGGCCCAGCTATGGTTTGGAACATGACCCACATGACTGGCAACAGCCAGAAAAACAACTACAGACCTGTGGCAGTGGTGAGACAGATGTGATCTGCCAAATGAGCGGTGTAAAAAGCTGATGAAAAAAGAGGCAAAAGACTTACTTGCAAAGGACAACAAAATCAACTCTTGGATTTCCCAGTAATAACCTGTAAGCTCTGCTTGTCCTGTGTGTTCTGACTGAGAGATCACTTTTATGACAAACCCAAGCCCAGAAAGACTCAGATGAACTAAAAAATGGTGAGTTTGGAGAAGGTGGGCTACACCTCTCAAGGAGAAGGAGACGGGGAAGAGAACGGATGGAGAATTGCACAGCCAGCAAGAAGGGAGAAACTCCTCCAGTCCATCACAGCCAAGAAGCAAAGACTGTACAAGAAAAAGACATTACATCCATCTGACTCAAACTACTGCTATGTAAACTGTGAATCCTTCTACTAGCTCTGCATCATGCTAAAATACTTTCAAATAAACACTATACATTTCCTGAAAGATAATCTGATTACTTCACTTCTTTGCACTATCTAAAACATTTTCTTTTGTTGACATCAGATCCTGAATTACTGGAAATGTACATTAAGTAAGATCAGAAATTGGCTCCCTTTATTTAATAACCTGCAATTTAACTGAAATATTATAGTACAGAATTGTTAACTCTGGTTACAGCTCTAGTACTTTTTTTCCTGCTAAATCCAGAAATGTCAGCAGGAACGGCCAGGAAAAGTTATATTAAAATATTGTCACTGGAACAATCCTGAAAGTAACTGTTGCACTGGAGCCCAAGGAACAGCACGTGCAGACAGAATTTTCATCCAGAGCTCAAGTCTCACGCCAATGTTATTACACTGATTGTTTGGGCAAACCTGTGATACTTTAAAAAATAAACAATAACAACTTTTAAACACACACAGACCCCCAAAAGATCCCCCAGCTTTAGAGTGTTTCAGAAGAGCAGCACCCATTATTTTAGATCTTAGCTAACACAGCTCACCAGAAGTTTAAAAAAAGGTAAAAAGTGAAATGCTGCTTACACATGAGATTGCATTTCAACACAACACACACATTTTTCTATATAAATATAGATAAATTAAGGTATTTTAGTCTAAACACTTATTTTAAAATAAAGCCAGACACTATTCTTAAATGTGTTCTTTTTAACTCCTAATATGAAAAGGGATCAAGGTACAGAATTCCCTCAAAGACCAATATGCGGTTTTAGACAGTTCAATATTTTAAAAACAACATATAAAATAGAAATAACTTCAAATTCCAGACAAACAGCTGCAGGAGCTGCATTAGGGATAGAACTACCTGGCACTGACATTTAGCCACAAAAGCCCAAGAAACAGGGTGCTTTTTTCACCCCACTCCCTTCCCTCCTCCCTGGAAGATCCACACCAGTCAGGATACAAGGGGCAGCTGAAGCTCTTGAAGGCTCAGCTTTTCCAAGTATTATTGATCAAGCTCCAGCTGGGAGACTATTTCCATTACTCCATATTCCTCAGGGTGCTATTACTCTGAGTTGTGCCACGAGCAGCCTCTAAGCACCCCAGTGCTTTGATGGGGTGGCTAATGGCCTGTCCTCTTCCCAAACAAAGTCAGCTCCAGCACCTGTCCTCACCAGGAGGCTGCAGAACAAGCCACCACAGCTCACCTGCTTCGTGACACACACTGAGCATTTCAGAGTTACCTACACTGGAAACCCAGGATACCTGGAACCTGAACTTCATCTGAATGCAATTCTCTTCATTTTAGTTCTATCTTCTCCACTTGAGTATTTGGCCCAACGTAGCTGCTTAAGAGGCATCGAAATTCTTAATTGTGGGAGAAACAGGGCATCTACCACCACGAGGCAAATCTGAAAACCTAAGCCTCACATTTAGTTCACAGGAATCCATGAAGTGCCAGAAACATCTCTATAGGACAGAAACCGCTTTGAACGAAACAATTTGTCATACAACCTTGAAACTTGCCACGTATATAAAATAAGAACAAAATATATCAGGTACAAATTTGTCAACCACTTTTTAAAAGTACAATTTGAACACTGCGCATCACCAAGGCAACAATTTTGAACCAGAAATATTTTTCATAATCTGCCATATATTTTTTTCATAATTTTTGTTGGAATTGGTTTAACAATTCTGCTATAATCAACAAGGGCTAAACCAGCAGCACCTTTCTATGACACTGGCAAACTCAAACTCTTTGTGACTGAGACTGCTGCTTCTAAAAGTCATACTAAACTATTTACTGGCATTATAAAAATGTGACTGTCCTAATTTTCCGTACAAATGTAGAAACCATTCTGTAAAAAAAAAACAAACAACCTCTCTCCCCTGGATAGAAAAAAAAACTTCAGACCATACCACCTGTAACAAAAATGTTTTCTCAGCCTTTTAAAAATTGACAGCTGTCAGCAGCCTGCTAAAGCCAGAGAAAGCTAAAGAAAGCCACTGATTTTATAACCAACAAAAATCATAAAAGCATCGAAACAAAGCTAGAGTTTACAACCATCATTCCACATCCAGCCCTGCTTTTTTCATCTTTGTGCATAACTTCTTAAACAGGAAGCAATCCCAGAGATATGCTGCCTGTAAAACCACCCAGAAGTAGATAGCACTAGGCAAATAATAACTCCAATGAATTAAAATGACGTCTTTTTAGGCCCATATGTTTGAAAGTCAGTCACTGACTGCAGGCTCTCATTTGCTAAAAAAATTCTGAAGTAGCCTGTTTATTTCAGCAATATACTCAACACACTGTCAGAGCAGACACCACCCACCACCACTAAATGACTCAGAGGTTAAAGGGTTAGAGGGGGAGAAGGAAGGGAAAAGCTCTGAATGTGTCATTTAGTAGGAAGCAATGAGAAATACGGATAAGCTATTTAACTGGCCTTGAGATCCACCGAACAATTAATTCAGTTACATTAGGCATGGTTCACCAGATGGTGTGTTTTGTCTTATATTTATTCATAATTTGACCCTTGGACTGGAATGGTTTGCCTGAAATTCAATTATGTGAATCCACTGCTGATCTACACCAGTCTGTTGTGTCTCCAAATTAATAATTGTTGGACATTTCCCTTGTAGTTTTTAGATGCAGCCCTTGGCACATGCGATGCTCTGACAGGAATGATTTTCTCCCAATTCAAGGAACACAGAAACGTGCACAGACCAGTAAGAGCAGTGACAGAAAATCTGTATGGTTGCAGAATTTGAAATAATTCATCAAGACTATCAGCTTTGATCTGATTAAGCCTTTTCCCTACCTCTTTGCAAAATGGAAAGAACAAGCAGAATATATGGGAGTTGTATATCCCTTGCCTGGTTATCATAGTTGCTTTTTGCTCAACGAGTAACTTTGAGGAAAGAAAGTAAATGCCTTTTTTCTGAAGTGTTGTTGATGCTTAAACATAATTCTCC